AAGCTGGACCATCGATTGTCATTATTTCCGATTCAGGGAAAGTTGTATTTAAGGAAAGTTTTCTTTTTTGCTACCATAAACAGACTCCCAAATTTTTATTTCGGGAAAAGTTTTTCTTTTATTGGTAAATTTAATTGCCATTTTTCTTCTCTTTTCAAACTTCATTATATTTTTTAATAATTTTCGTTTTTAATATATTATTAACAGAATATTTCGTGTCACTGAAAGCCTTTCATTGGATTGTCACAAACAGGTTTTCTATAGAAACTGGGATTAACAGAATCAAATTAAAACAAATCAAATAAATCGAAATTTAAAAAACTTAAAGTTAAAATTTTAAATCCAAATTTTTTCAAAGGTTTAAACCAAAATCTTCAAAATTATTCTTTGAAACTGTGGAAAGAATTTGTGAAAACGAATTTTGGGTGGACAGTTTGTGACAGCGAATAAGTTGGATGCGAATTATAGATAGAGAGATGAGTTAGGCCTTTTGTACTAAAAAAAAATTGAATAAGTCAAAAATTGAAAAGACATTCCATTAATTAAAATGGTCGAAATTAACCTAAATTTTGCTCTCCTCCCTCAAACACAAAATTGTGTCAGCACAAATCAACTTTTCATCGAAATTGCATCAGTCATCTTAGAGCCTTTAATTAAATTAGATCAAATTTGCATTTTTGTCAGAAATATGAAACATTAAAAATTAGAAGTGAGTCATCAATACTATTACCTTACTTTCGTTTTGAAAATGCAAGATATTTATCTTGTCAATGATATTTTATTTAATTAACGATCGCAAAAAAAGTAATGGTGAAAATAAAAGAAAACACATATTATAAGAGATAAAAGCGGACATATCGGGTTTGATTCCTTCCTGACTTCAAATTAATTACTAATATTAAAAAAGAAAAAAAAACTTAGTACTGATTAACAGAAGCATCGCGGTTATACAACATTCCATTTGATGAATGTATATCCAATGCATTTCTACCACATTCCTTCACAATTGATTGAAAAAAAAATTAACGAAATTGAACTTTAAGAAGAAAAACTTAAATCCCTCAAATAGTACAGAGAAGAATTATTGTAAATTTCATCCTTTCATGATTGAATTTTCCTGGATATTTAAAAAATTAAAAAGGGAAATGCTTTCTGTCATGCATGAATGAATGAATGTTGAAAAAAAAAATTGCAAAAATCATACGACACACATTATTGAAAGTTTAAATTGTGTGATAGCACGGAGAAGTTTTAAAAGAAAAAGTAAAAATAACAGAAAAGATAAATGAAAATGAAAATCAACCAATGAATATGAATTGCTTATTGCTTAAATTTTTAAAAATTTCAGATACGGTGTACCAAGAGGTGGTTATGCAGTTGGATAAAATTAATTTATTGGATCAGTTTTCATCGTGTTATTTGTAAATATGGTCCCACAATTGTAATTTTTTTCAGTTTTCCGCAAAAAATATTTTGCAATCGTCTTTCAATGTTAACTGCTAATTAGCTTCAAGATTCAATCGGGTCGAGAAAATTGAACTTTTTAAAGGACTTTGTCATTAAAATTTCAGAAGAAAAAAAACTTTCCTTGAATGCAGTTTTTCCTGAATCGAAAATAATGACAATCGATGGCTCAACATAATTTTGGTTACTTTTATTTCTGACACAAATACAAATTTACTTAATTCAACGAAAGACTTTCAGCGACACGAAATATTCTGTTAATCCCAATTTCTATAGAAAAACTGTTTGTGACAGTATTATTTTGCTTTTTTTGCATAATCAGTATGGAATATTTTTGTTTTACAATGTATTGCTATTCAATACAAATTGGAAAACGGATTAATTTCTATTTCCCGTTGTTTTTCGGAAAAGTTGTATGGAATCTGTTTATCGCAGGTTGCCTACTCCTCAATGTCATATATTTTCTGGAAAAGCATTATATTTGAATTCTTAGCGTTATGCTGATTGTCTTTTTTAATTCCGGACAAAATTCCCGATTCATCGTCCTGGCAGTTCGAAAGACATACAGGATTGCAGTATTATTTCAAATACAAAAGGCACAATTAATGTAAATTGATGTCAATTTTACAACTTTCCTTGAATGAAAAATAATGACATCACTGGTCTAACTTACTTTTGGATGCTTTTATTTCTGGCACAAATGCAAATTTATGTAATTCAATAAAAGGCTTCCAGTGTTGGGTAATTGTTTTTCTGTTGGACTTGTTTCTCGGCGACACAGATTTATTTGAGATGTGATATTGTTCTTGCACAATATTACTAGTTAGCAACTAGAAAAAGGATATAAAATATATATGTGCATTACACGATGAATTGGTGAGCAATGATGAGTTATATACAAGGCAAGTAATATGGTCAACTAACAAACTCCTTGTCGTTGTCTTGGACAATAATTTGACTGTCGGTTAGTTGACGCGTCTTTGAGTTGGGATTATGCTACGGAACGAATAGAAGAATACCGTAGTTTGTTGTCCAATGGTGCGGATATGCGATGATAACGTCGTTTGTGGTTTAGTCGTGGAAAATAAGAGAAGAGGATCCATCGTCTGCTCAATTGTGGGAAAAAAAAACTGGTCTGTCTCGAGATTTTTTCATATATATATATATATATATAAGGATTAGAGGAGGGACTTGTGAGCCTCGTCGGGGCTATCATAGCGATATGGCTATCCTTTGGCACTATCCGTTGTGTTGGTACTGAGACCTTTTTGTTTTTGTTCATTATTAGCTTATATCCTCTTCATTGCATTAATTTTACAAGTTTCGTCATCCCGTTTGTTGGACATTGTGGGAATTTTGTTTGCACGTAGCTTTCATTTTGCACGTAGTAATCCGACATAAAATTTCCATTATGATTTTCATAGTTTTCCCGACATCCAGTGACATGAAATATTCTGTTTTCCATTGCTTCCAGCGACACGAAATATTTTGTTAATCCCAGTTTCTATAGTAAAAACTGTTGGTGACAATTCAATTAAAGGCTTCCATTGACACGAAATATTCTGTTAATCCCAATTTCTATAGAAAAAGTGCTTGTGACCGTATTATTCACTTTTTTCATAATTTGTTTGAAATAATTTCTATTTTACATTGTACTGCTATTCAGTGCAGAATGAAAAACTGAGATTTCGATTTTTTTCTGAATCTTTTTAATCTTTGACCGATTAGATCATTTCACTACAGAATGTCAATATTTTCGTTCAGAATTCAGTCTACTGTCACAAACTGCTTCCCCCCTCACCAAATTCATTTCTACAAATTCTTCTACTCATTTTACAGTATTGAATAGACATCGTTGCTAAAACAAAATGAACTTATTCTTCACTGAAGCAACCAACTTTGAGCCTAAATCTCATACATATTACTAATCATTTACTGTTGTTACTCATC